ATCACACAGAAAATACTAGACTGGAATTCCCTAGGCAGGGAATTATTAGTAATGTTGCGAATATTATTTTAACAGTACTGTCCAGTCTAATAATGTTAAAAGTGAGGTTCTATTGCTGTCTTTTGTAGCATTCAGTTCTGTCACAAACTAGAGTGTTTTATGTCTCATCAGGCACATCCTGTAAGAGAAGCTGAATGAAAATGAACATGTGGAAGCTTTGGCAGTTGGTCAGTGGATCGCTGAGAGGAAACAGCACTAACATGACAGCAAAACAGATGTGTGCATGAGTAGGTCTGTTAACGTCTATTGCGAGAAAGAGACGGCCTTGATACATTGACCCTTCTATATAGACCTTAGCTGATGGATGCAGTTTATTCTATGTACAGTATGTCATTTTAAAAACATCCAACATAACATAAAATTGCCCTGAAAGCAAACCTGAGCAAGGCTGAACCAAAAGCACCCATTGTGAACCTGACAAGCGTTGCATAAGAATCCCGAGATGGCTTTCTTTGCATAATATTACCATCACAAACGTTTTTGTGTGATTGGCTAAATGCATTTATGTGCAACTAGTGTGCAAACATTCCTTTCTGTCTCTGCATATAGTTTTCTCTCATGGCTTGACATAATCATCTCTGTACAAAATACCAGCAGCCTGTTTAATCTGACCAAACACAAAATGTTCAAACAAAACCATCATACTCTGGTGCAAAATCGAAATTTGGATGACAGCTAATTTACAGGATGCATGACCACTTTAGCCTTGAATAGCTACACGAAACAACCAAAACCCAGAGAAATAACTGACTGAAATATCTCCATGTGCACTTATTCACACTCGCCATACTGAAACTAACCAGGAACATTTTTCTATTATAAACTGCCAAATTTTCTTTCCAAATAAATCGACAGTTAGTGTATAATTACATCTATAGATAATAACTTCGGACACCTCACACTCATTCAGCGTGGCACCTTAAAAAAAACACAGACACAATTAATGAATATGTTGTGCATGTGTAAGCAACGGCAAGAGTTAAGAGAGCAAAAAAAAAAAAATATATATATATATATATTTTTTTTTACAAAAGCCCAGCTAATAGTGGAATAGTTCTCCATTAGCAACAGGAAAATCATTAGTGATTCTATTTAAAGATGGACCTACTGTAAAAACAAATGGTTGACCTCATTTCCCTTTTTGCTATTCTCCACTTCCCCACCTGACACCATATTCTCAGCATGAACTGCTGTGTTCATTGAAGAAATATTATTCTTAAATATATGATTAATTGCTGCATCAATAGAGTCTCAAAGCGTGTCCAAGGGGTCAGTCAGCAAATCCAGCCACATGGTCACTACAAAAAGCAAAGACACACAAAACACGCGCACTCACACCCACCAGCAGACACATATTCACCACACAAAAGCATGCACACAGAAAACACACACAATGCACAAGTCCAAACAAATAACAAATGTGAGGAGGAGCAAAAAAAAAAAAAAAAAAAAAAGGTCATCATATGATTAAACATCTTCTTTTCATGTAAAGTTAGTCTTTCACTTTTATGCAAACAGGTGATGAGAATTAGTTTTCTTAGAAATGTTGTCATGTTTCACTCCCATATGAATGTATTGTGTACTTGTAATTTGTTCACATATCTTAAAGGTGCACTTTTTCATGATTATAAAAAGAAAACTTTTTAAAATGAATTTTGAAAACACGTAGGTATATGACATGTTTAAATCCATGTACACTTACAGTATAGCCTAATAAAAGTGGTTTTATTTTATTGGCTTCATGGAATCCGCCATTTTGAGATATGACCAATTGAATGCTACTCACTTTATGTTGTTAACCCACCTGTTAGAGAAAACTTTCATTCACACGATAAATTAATGTAGGACAGCAAATGGCACATTTCTACAAACGCATCAGTCGTTAAAATATTAGCATGACATTTCATCCACACCACTAGGTGTCAGTATGAGTTCAAAAGGATGTTACATAAGTGCTACAGAAAAAAAAATACTGAGTGCACTTAAGACAGGTTTGACTGGGTCTGGTTCCACTAAATGCTTGTGTATCAAAACTATACTTTGCAGAAATATGAAGGCTCACTGCTTTAATGTTTAGATAAGCAGAGATGTGTGCTCACCAGGCTTTTCGTGATCGCCTTTGATGAGCCTCAAGAGTGCAGGAGAAATGTGTGTGCATGTGGCAGAAAGAGAGAGACTGATCAACACTAAAGAGAAGAAGACCACAAGACAAGAACACTGAAAGCACATCTTCAACTCAGAGAGCAAAGAATGATGAGCTAACAAGAAGGCATGGCTGGAATTTTTCAACATTTATTTAAAAAAAAAAAAAAAGTTTGTTATATTTCCTTTTTTTTTTTCTTTTGTCTTTTTTCTTTTGTTGATACCTGAGAGAATCCTTCAAAAGCTTTCCTTTCCAGTCTCATTTAAAACAGCTGTGGTATGGACATCATCCCCGCTCTCTGCTCACACTCTCATGGCTGGGTGCATTTTGCACATGAGCACTTCTACATATTCACAAACACAGTCTAATCAAATGAAGACACTCACATTCAACTTCAAAGGGAACAGTGAAAATGAGGACTTTGACATCACAGTGCTGAGGGCGGCCAATCAAACTTAAATGTTCAAAAATAGTGCGCTTCTTTTTTTCTTTCGTTCAGTTGGGATTTCGCATACGGTATTAAAGCTTAAAAAGCTTAAAGTGTGTGATTTCTGCACCACTAGTGTAATTAAATGGAACGGCAGGTTTCCAAAACACTCCCCTCTTCTGCTATTGGCTAGATAAAACTGATAGCCCCGCCTCAAACTCACGCCATTGGTTGAGCTGTTGCCAGGTCGGTGAAATGTTTCGATAGTGCCTCAGAGACACAGTGTTTACGCTTTTTGGTGAAATCAGCCTAGAAATGGCTTATTTATAGTAATCTCTGTGTATTAATCAAGTATTTTAACAAATAGTAGTTGATTTTGCATTAAAACTGCACTTAAGACTGACTCACTTTGGTCTGAGATTCACTTCCACAGCTGAGAGGGGAGGAAATATCAACTCAAAAACATTTCAAGGTTGAATATTAATGACGTTTTGGTAAGTGTTTCTAAAAAATGTATTTTAATTTTGAATGCATGGAATGCCGTTTTGTTTCTAACAGGTAGTACCAATCCACCGAACCATGAGAGCATTCGACGCAAACACATACATAGAAACACAAATGCAGTCTCTGGACAGCGGATGACATCATCGGAGATCAGTGGAAAGTTGAACTAGCGCCCTCAAATTCGCAAGGTTTGACAAAGCTGGTCTCAGGCAGCATTTAGGGCCATCCTTCCCTTGACTATGACACTGACTGATGAAAAGACAAACTGACTGAGGCTCATGCAGTTGCTGTGGGTGGGACTTTGGGAGGGGAAGTGTTCAGAAAGAGACATGTCCGCTAATCAGGGCTCAATGACACAGTCATCATGCTATCAGAGGGTTTAGCATTGCATAGACATTCTTGCTTCTGGGCGTTTTTTGTCTTTCGCTAAAAAATAAAAAAAGATAACAAAATTTGGTAAAAAAAAAAAAAAGGACGAGAAACAAAACTACACAACCACCAAAGCAAAACAAAACCAGTATCTACTGTTCTCCTCCGAGGAAACTGATTGGCAGTAGCGAGGTCAGCTTAGTGCTTCTAGGTACCAGACCATACCCACCTATGTCTCTACCAGCAATCTGACCAAGCGAACAAATGTACGTCTAGCTACCCTGTCAGAAAGAGCGGTTTGAGTGCAGGGCAGAGGGTTGTGGAGGCACAGGGTTGGATTGTTAATTTCATGGGGCACTTCTTCTTCATATTTGTATTGAACATGCACGCTTGCGAGTGCACAAAAACACACATACAGATGTGTGAAGCATTTACAGAGCTACGTAAGCAGAAAAATGGAGGGATCATTCGGCGCACGGGCTGTGTTCTGGCCTCGACATCCAGTATGTGATGGTTGCATATGGTTAACACAGAGATTTAATCTTTCAATATCTTTTCGTTTTGTATTTACATTCTTGGTTATGGCCAAAAAACTTGTAAAAGTACAAAAAAGGACAACGAAACAAAACAAAAAACACAAGTATTGCACCTTGAAGGCGGGCAATATACGCTTAGTAAGCTGTTTGTGTAACATCATTTTGACAGCACTGTCCACTCTTGCTGGTGACCTGAAGTGAGGTTATAGTTCCCGAGCTCGGTTCCAGCCCAGTCCTGTCAGCTACATTCAATACCATGAAGTACTCTCTGCTGTCACGGATGCACATGACTCCCTTTCCAGCCACATCACATCCTGTCCACTCCCATTACGGCTCGTCGCATCAGCACAGGCGACACCGTTCGCAAACGGAGGCTAATGCATGCAACTGGTGCAAATCTGAAGCAGATGGGCTTTCGAGGCTGAAGGAGGGAGCCGTGTGCTTCCGCAATCACATGAACGCTCGCACACGTACACCCCATCGTACAGTTCAACACATGCACTGGACACACTTTGACATAAGTGCCACGCAGATAAGCACTCCAACCATGTTCATTTAAGCTTTGTGTTGTGTGAGGTATGAGTAGATTGTGTTTCAGTTTTTTTCAGTTTCTGTTGCATTTCAGTTTTTTCATAAAAAAAGAAAACAATATAAAAAAGAAAATATTCCTGTTTCTTGTTGTAAATTCCTCTTGATAAAAAGTCGAAGGACATATACACAGACAAACAGAGCAGTCGACTAATCATTACAAACTATAGTGAGGTGAAAAAGAGGTGAAATTCTCTAGTTTACACTGCACGCATGGTCAAAAAGTGACTACGGCTGTTGTTTTTCTCTCTTACATAGAGCAGTTAAGCATCAAAAACGAACACACAAATTGCAGTTCAAAACAAAAAGAAAGAAACGAACAGCTCAAGCTCCAAAATTTGAACTTTTTGTTCTGGAGTCATTTTTTTTATTGGTTTTCTGGGTTTGTAATTCTTTTATTATATCTTTTTTTATTTTTCTATCTCTCTCAAACTAAATTAGAAGGTAAAGCAGCATCGAAACCCTTGCGTTCACTCGATCAGCCAATCGGAACCACTGCTGCGTTATTCCTATTTCAAGATGGAATTCCATGCCAGATGTTTACGGAATGCATTACAGTTCCTCTCGTACTGATTGGCTGCGTTCCTTCGCAACCATATTATAGAGCAACTCCTCGTTCTGGCTCTTTCATTCTGCTGCTCCTTGTTCACATTCATTCGGTGCTGCCATTCTTTGCATGGCTTGGCCACTCCTTTGTCTCACAAAGGAAAGGCCCGTTTCTGTTGGGTGTTCGTCTCAAGCCACTTCTGGCTTTGAGGGGGCGGGGACACAGAGGTCTGTTTGTGAATGTGTGTTTTGAGTGTTTCGTCATTTGTTGAGAAAGAACACGACCAGGACTTTGCTTGACTTAATACTGACTCTGAGGGTGTGCTCAGGAGCACATGAAGGCGTGGCCTCTGTTTGACAGAGAGGTTGGGGGTGTGTCCTTGGAAAGCATGGACTGAGCTGGAGGGTGGGACCCATCATGCCTTAGTGCAAAAACTCCTTAAAAGTGCCAGGGGTTGAATCGTCTCTGAAGATTTGGCTCTTTCAAAGCTAAGTGCTCTCATTCAACTGCTTCTCCGCGTCCCCTGCCCCACCCTAAAGAAACCAGCCGACCCCTCACTCCACTTTGCAAATTACTGCTTGGTATTGAAACGGAAACAGCGATAGACCCATTTGATTCAGGCCTGGTCACCTCGGGTCCTTCATCTGTAGTTCTCTCCATGGCTCCTCTTTGTAGTCAGCGGCATGTATGGTTTAGTTCTCCGTCTGCTGAAAACTAGCTTCCGTTTTGACGGAAATTGAAGTGACACTTGGTCCCACACAAAAAGAAACAAAAAAGCCCACCCAGAATTGTTTTTCTCTCAGCCACCTCAGAGAAATCTGATAGGCTACGATGAGGAATGGTAGGCCCTCCTGTCTACAGTGGTATTTCAACGTAACTGAGAAGAAACTGTGTCTGCGAGTGTTTCTATCCTGGCTGTCAGTGTATGAGAATACGAATGTGTGTAAATGTGTGTGTGGCTGAGGGTAGCTGCCCTGTGTCCAGAGGTGAGGTAGAACCTGTCAGCACAGAGGCAGTCTTGGAGCCACAGCCAGCCGAAGGTGTGCCCACATTTGAGGTAAAACAAAAACAACACAAAGAAAAAACATCAACAACAGTCAGTCCGCCTTGGCCCGTCAGGAGTGTGCACGTGTGTTCGCACAGACCGGGCAACAGTAGCATCTGAGCGGAACACAGATGGGCTGGACTGAACTCTCAAAGCCCTGCATGGGAGTCCAGAACTACAGCACTGCAGTGCATACAGTAAAAATGAGGCATTCGAGTTTTGAGGTGTGTGTTTTAGTATGTTTGTGTGTGCGTGTGTGTGCTGGGTCTGGGAGTATGGTAATACTGGCTCCCTCCCGATACCTGTAAAACACACAAATCAGTGCAGATTGGAGGTGTAGGGGTGCCTGGATTTCCATCTCTCTGCGTGACTTTCCAGGGACAAATATGCCCAGACAATGGCAAGAATGAACCGCACATGAAGTCGCTGAACGGCACCCCTGAATGTGCACTAAAATGGCGACCGAGAGCTTTCAACGGTCTGTGTCCTACAGAGAAGGGAGGGGGGTATGTTTTTGAAAAGTCCCAAATCATTTTGAGTAGCTTTATTTAAATATAGCACCTGATTTGGTTTAAAAAATTCCTCCTGCTTCACACACAGGCTCAATATCGAAGAGAATCATGAGGTCTGTTAAAGAAGATCCATGTTAGCGCAGAGCTTGAGATACCGACGGTTAATCTCACAAGAATTGAGATTTTAATCAATAAAATGAACTGACCACTTCACGACCTGCCGGAGGAATCTATATGCCAGCTGCCATCCAGTCTTAGCAGGGGGCACCTCCAGTGGTGGCATGACAGTAGTGCAGTCTGTACGTGTACAAATGCATATAAGCTCATCAGAGAATTTGAGTTGCATGAGTACAGCATCTGCAAGCACACTTACAGGAGTGTGTGTGTGTGTGTGTAGATGTATATTCTGTGTCTAAGGTGTTGGTAAACCAGTATAAGGACATCATGCCGAGACAGAAGGGCCACGCGTGGGGAATTTAGTGGATGAGGGAGGGCTGAGTTTTCTGCGAAAAGCAAAAAATAAAAAATAAACTCCCCATATGAAAGCCTTTCTGAAGATGACCTCTGCCATTTCAGCTGCTGCTGGTGAGTTTGGTGCGTGGATGGGGGTGAGCCAGGTAGAGAAACACGGGTTACAAAACGTTGTTGATTCTCCTGCCACAGCTCACTGGGACGTCACACGTCCTGATCCTCGAAGACCTCCAGGAAAAGTGGGGGGAAGAGTTCAGTGGGGCATTCCACCTTCATGTGCAGGAAGCGGCTGGCATGGCAGGCTCCGATCATGCGCAGGTCCGTCACCTTCATCAGCAGCTTGGGCCAGAAATGGGGAATGTTGTGCTTGCGATAGTTGATGTAGTGTTCGAACGCTAGGAGGAACATCTCCTGGCACTTCTCGATCTTCTCCACACATGTCAAGCCTGTGCGATCTGAAGAGACGAACCACAGAAGATGCAAGGACAATACTTATTATGAGCATTACAGGATTGTAGCAAAATACATTTAAAAAACCATCTAGTTAGGTTTCACACTGAATGAAGGTGAAATACCTCTCAGCAACTACAATATTTGTCAAACACCATGTTCGAAAACCAGTATGCTGCCTTAATAATCAACATTCATGGGCATCAAATGAAGTATTTCCACTTCATTTTCTACATAGTGTTTGAAAAAAGCAATAGCAAAGAACATCAACCAGGTCAAAATCTTCAACATCAAAATCAACCAGGTCTGAGATGAATCACATTATAAACTATGATTTGAAGCAAAAAGTATCTGAAAATCAGCTAAAATAAATAGATCCAAGACTTTAATGAAGCAATGTACTATTAGGGTGGACATCTGTCTGGTTTTAGGTTGTATAGTCTGGTTTTGAAATACCATTTCCACCTACAGTACTTGCACAGAGTTTTCTTGTACTCCTTATCACTATTTTATACTTTATGCAATGGTATAAAATTAATAAATTAATGTATTTAAAAATAGGCTATGTTTAAGCTAATAGTAAGTGACATACATGTGACGTATTGTCATTATCGACTATTCTTTGCTTTTGCTCTGTTTCCCCAATGAAAATAGTCCCAATCTTGACCTTATGGAGAATATGATTGTTTTTTTGTTTTGTTTTTTTACTTCCAGATCCCAACTGTTGTGCTATATTGGGGTTTATTGGATCTTCTTGCATGCATTATCTGAGAAGTGCTGCTTATGTCATGCGGTTATTGTTAACGGAGTTGCTACCTATATATACATTCTATCTCAAGTTAGCATGCTACCACAGAAGGCAGCTGCCTATGTAGACAGCAGACAGTGAGGCAGCCCAATAGCTTTAAGAACAGAACCTAACAGACCCTACAGCTGTTTATTGCTGCTAATACAGTTTTGAGAGTTCTCTTAAAAGGCTGATTTTGGTTTATGAGCAGAATTACTGTAAAGTGTCCTCTCTCACCTGAGCTCATAAGCAGTACAGCCTGCAGCAGGGCCACCTCTGTGTCATCCAGGTTGAACTGCGCTAGACTCTTGCCCAAGTCAAAGATGGCATCAGACACAACGCCCAGCCCTCCATTCTTTAGCTGCTCTCGTTTAACAGCCATCTCTCCGCTCAGGGTCAAGGTCTCGCTTTCCGGGTCATACCGAACTGCAGCACGTAGGGACATAATCTCCATACAGCAACCCTTCAGCAAGATGATCTGATCCTCACAAGGCAGCTACAGAAATTAGAAATCACACAATAATACATATTTATTTCACCTAATGGCATAACATCTGCTGTGGCATCATACTGAGACCTTGAAAAACCCTCCTTGAATACATTTCAAATATTGTTATGGTTGTAAATTGTTTCAAATATTAAAATACTTAAATTGTAGTTTTTTTTCCCAGTTTGAATGAATACTGATCCTTTTTTATGAGTATAAAAACCCCAAAATTATATATGCCACTATGGATTTCAGTATTGACACTGATAATAAAATGAATAGTAAATTATTAAAAATAATTAAACAATATAACAACTTGACAACAACAAATGATGGTGTATTTTAATAGTGGGTGAAATGTCACAATTATTAAGCTTCAAATTAAATTAAAATTAATTAATTAAAAATATTTTAAATTATATAAATATATATAAAATATATTTTATATTATTTTAATAAAAACATAATAAGGACTGATGTCTGCATATAATCTTGCTAAGTTTAAGCTTTTTTTAAAAATACACTTTAATATTCACACAGCACAGAATGAAGTAGTTATAATGTCAAATTGAATAAATGCACTTTTTAAAAAATTACAGTGTTAAAAAAAAAATTACTTCATGTGTTAACATTGATGGGCTTAATCATATACTGGCAAAGAATCCAAGATGACCCAAACACAAAGGAACTGAGGAGAGAAAAAATTGGAGGTAAAATGGCATCAGATTGAAGAAATATTTACCCCGATGTATGAAACGAAAATTTACAATAGCAACAAGAAGCCAAGTATTGTTCAGTATTAATTTTTGTATTACAGTCGGTCTAGGTGCGTATTACAAAATGTGGAAAATACAGGAGGCATAGCGCTCAACTTAAAAAAGAGCCCGAGAGGTAGTGGATATATGTGGATGACAGGGTAAATTTATGGTGTAGACAATAATAAATCCGTTGCCATAAGGGTGCTGTGTAGTCTACTATGCAAGAATGTTCACACTTGTGGTTAAAGGAGAGTTGGTGAATGCTAAATATGGAGAGAATGCCACAATAGCTATGACTGATGTAATGTGGAAATATTACACACACATACATTCACCAAAGCCACAACTGTACTGAACCATACATCCTAACAAGATAGATAGCACATACAGTGGGTACGGAAAGTATTCAGACCCCCTTAAATTTTTCACTCTTTGAACCCCACGGACATATTCCTGAAATATGTGTTAGTGTTTTCATCTGAATAATTTAGCAACTATTAAAAAATAACAACAATCTGAGCAGTACAGTTGCATATTTTCAGCTAATTAGGCAGACGGACACTAACGTACTCTAATTTCAAGGCTTAATTTGACAAGCTAATTACTAATGAACACAAACACTTCAAACAGGGTGTAAAAAAAATAAATAAATTAAAAATAACAAAAACAAAGGCTAATCGCACACTCACCTCTGAAAACATGGACAGTTTTTTGGCAAAGTCAACAACACGTGTGATGGCTGGGGTGATGATCTTGGTAAACTCGCTGAAGGCCTCCAAATCTACTTTGTCCCCGTCTGATGTGGGGGCCACCGGAGACTGTCCGATGTCCTCAGGCTGCAGACACAGACAGATTCACAGGGGGTTAACTATGACTTTCACGTTTGGCTTTTGTAACAAGCAACACTGTATTTCCATTGAAGAATATATGAATGGATGTACAAATACACCGAACGGGATGCATGTGTGGGGTCTGGGTTTGCAGTTATGTAGGCTGATAGCCTTGGAAAACCACAGCGTTTAGTATCCTCAAGGTGGATTAGAGGTCAGCCATGTAAAAACTCTGGACAAACAGCCAAGTAGCCCTGACATCTGGAGCAACATTCTATGTATGTAGTAAGAGGCATGTAACATGAGTCAGAATAGAGGTAATTATAAGTACTCAAGAGGCAGAGCTGCAATTACAGCATTACATGTTGGCAACTGCATATATATTTTTTGAATGCGAGACATGGCTATGAATCGTGGACTGCATATTTGCAGTGTGTTTCTGCTGCAATCAACACCTCTGAAATAAGAATAACAAGTGAAGACATTTACATTCTCAGGAATTAAATAAGTGGAAGAAAATGTGATTAACAGCATTGAAAGAAGTGCTGAGATTATCAAATTAAATGTGACAAATTATATATATATATATATCAACATAACAAAATGTGAAAAAAATGAAGGGATGTGAATACTTTCGCAAGGCACTGTTTATATATAGGCCTATATATATAAATAAATAAATAACATAACATAACATAACATGAATCTGTCCATGACCTAAGCAATTTTATAATGTCACAACCAGCATGTGTGTGGATAAACAACCCCATCTAAAAATGTACATTTTAAAACATATCCATGTGGTGGACATCACCCCTTGAGGCACAACTGCGACACTCCCTAAGACTTCAAACTGTGCAATCACATTGATTTCTTTGTTTCTGATAAAGCAAACAGACAATAAACAAAGACACTGAAATCAAGACAAGACTGCAGAAAAAAATGGTAGTGCTGGCCTACACACAAACAAATTATGTTTCATTGTGAGGCTGCGAGATCAAAAGGTTCGGGACTTTTCATCTGTGACAGACAGCGGTTCAAATAATTACTCTTTCTTAATATTAATTAATTAATATTATCCTTTCTTAGCACTAAAGCTAATAGGAAGCCTTCATGTAAAGTATACAGATCAGAAATGACAGCACAGACCGCACAGAGAGGCGATGTCTAGATCAAGAAAGTAAATAAAACACAAAGGAATCTGTTCAGGGGTTCAGAATGTGCCTCTGAGGAACTTTGTGTAAGATTTGTGTGTTTGTGTTTACATGCGCTGTCCCAGACAAAAAGGCCTGTTTTAACTGTGCCGCACTGTTGTATTTGTGTACGTTTTAACAAGCATGAACCAAAGTGTGTGTGTCTCTTCTTTCAGGAGGTGGGGGTAGCGCTGGATACGTCCCAACGCAGCCTTTGCCTGTAAGACCCCAATGTAAACTATCCCCTGTGCATCCACCCTGGCCTTCTCACTGCTGAGAACTTGGCACTGCGCTTTCTCACTCCAGAGATCTTAAGACAGCCCAGTTGGACTACTGACAGGACAGAGTGAGTGTTCCCATGGAGAGAGAGAATGCAGTTTATCGGGGTCATTCAGGGTCTCGGCCTTGCACTGTTATTGGAGGCATATCTTGGTTGTAAAGGTTATATAGGCTGCATTTTTTATGGGCCGTTTTATAGGAGTTCTCAGTCGGCCGAGGAAGTGGTTTCTCTGTCCCCGTGGCTGATCGTCACAGGGTCTAGTGCAAGCCGAATGTTTAGATTGGTGTGCGTCAGGGCTTTGATAGCGCTCGTAACCGCTGGGAAGATGAAGGATGTTTGGTGGGCTGAGAAAACCAACATCGGTTCTACAATGTAGAATATTCGAAAGAATATTTTGAAGAACTGATTTTGTTCTTGCAATGAAAGTAAATGTGTTCCAAATCAACACTGGTCCCTATTAAAAAACAAATACTTTTTTTGTGATTCACTAGAGATTGAACGACTTCTGATTTTTTAAAGTCGACTTTTATGTGATGAAATTCGAGTCGAAGTCGAATAGTCGCTGATGATGTCATTAAAGAAACAAATAAGTCTGGAGCTGTGACAAACACCATGTGCACAGCTATGGCATATGACACAACGCTGCCCACATGGCTTTTGCTCCTATAACAGCTCCTTTTTATCAGTTCTTTTGGTCGTTATATTTCTCACAGATTTCTGCTCATTCTAAATCAGATACAGATAAAGTAGCACAGTAAAGATTACATTCATATGAATGCATTGAGAGCGATTGCGTGTGTGAATTCTACCTGGCAGCGTCTCTCTACTAGTAGTTAAGCTGTGGGATTTAGTTATTAAGAAATATATGCTTGAACTTTTCAGTTTCTAAGTTATTTTATTGAGAAATCACAGAACAGTGTTGACAATACATTTCCGCGCTGAATGATTCTGTGCACGCGCGATGTGTGCGTGATGTACGAGCTACTGTCTGTAGCCTATGTGTGTGCGTTAAAGTGTAGCAGCGCATTAGATTAGAACGGCGATTAACTTACCTGTACAATAAGCTGTTTAAAACATGCATTCTCCTGTTCAATATCGATCGAGCATCCAGTAATATAATCACACATGTCTTGTGGAGCGCTTTCAGATTATGCATTTATTTGTCATTTTAATTGTTTGGAAACTGAGCGTAAATGTGGAAGTCCTTCAAAGATTTCATATCCTGTTGCGCCCTCTATCCACCTTTTTCTTCAACGCGGAAGTAAGCCTATGGGTGAGACTTCCGGTTCATTAGCCGCTATAGGTAAATAACGAAGAGAATAACAACGTGCAGTAAACGGTAAAACTGTTTGCACTACAAACCAGTGTGTTAATAATTTAAGATTATACATTAAAATAATATGATAAGACACACCAACTTTCAATATCAAGCAGCAAAACAAACAGTTTTGTTCAGCTAAAAATAGCTGGACGGAGTAGACACAGTTGAGACCGGAAGCCAGACCCATATAATTTACAAATGGCCGCGCCCATTTTTACGACAAGAAAAAGGTGGACAGGACCAGTGACTAGTTGACGTCAAGCTTAAAGAGTCATGGCAGAGCATTGAACTCGACTAGTCGATTAGTCGGTGCAACCCCTATGATTCACAGAAGAAAAAGACAAAGGTTTGGAAAGATATAATTGTGAGAAAATTCCAACAGATTTAATTATTTTCTTTCTCTTTAAGATCAACAAGTCTTTCAGATATCCAAAGCATGTGTGTCTGTGTGTCTCCTTAACTCTTTTATTCAGTTTTCTCTTCCTTTATCCTGCCACCATTCACAGTGGGTGGTATATTGTCGGAGAAAATGAGCGATTAATACGGTCTAAACTCTCTTTCCTTCCATCTTCATAAACAGAGGCGCTTTTACAAAGGCCCTGCATGGCAACGCTGCATTCCTGTTATACCCGTCACTAACAGTTGCTGTAACGCTCGCTGTTGCCCGGTCACAACTGATATGAGCAGACTGGTATTGTCACTCATTACATTGATTAGCAAGCTGTGTAAACAAATGCTAATCTTTACTGACAGAAAAGGCCATAGCGATGCGCTAAGCAGAAAATAAAATGTAGTGAGCAGACACACAGAAATAAAACACAATGAATAAGTATGTTTTTTCTCCTTTATCAGCCTATATATTTATATGTATATGTATGTGCTTATTAATAAATATTGTTCTGTGATTCTGTCATTTTCATAAGCTTTTTAAATAATTCTATATAGCTAAATTTAAATTAATTAAGTAATTTTCATGCTTCAGACTTATTTCAGGTGCTTGCTTACCAGGAACTTGCGTTTCTGTTTCCAGTGAGAGCCCTGTGCATTGGTGTGGCGGTGAGCTTCTGTCACCATACGGATCAGCTCCCACTCTGAGCTGGTGGGTTCTGGCCGAGTCTTCAGGGATTTGACCATCTCCTCCTTCTTCCGCTTCTCACGGTTCTCCTCAATCAAGCGCCGCTTTGCAACCCGCTTGGAGTCGTCTAGAACCACTACACCAAGGAGAAAAACGGGTTAATTCTTCCACTGCACGATGCATAAAACGCATTTTTCAATTTTATTTATGGTCCTCTAAGTGGCTTTTACATTTACATTTAATTTGAAAGATGTTTAGACATTTTTCCTGGAATACAATAACAAAATGATTCTGAGGTGCAGAATGGCAGTGACAGAACGAGTAAAAGCATCGGGGAGGGATCAAAGTAGAAACGAGACATCCATAAAACATTATAGAACAGAGGGAGAGAGAGGGAGTGACAGAGGAAGAAGAAATGTGGTCTGGGTTGAACATGTGCTTTACATATGTGAGGCATATGGACATATGTAAGGGGAACCCCAGACTGAGACTTCAGCTTGCATAAGATTAATGTACATTCGCTGTCAGCATGTGTTTGTGTATGTTAGGAGCAGGACTGCGTTCATTATCCAGTACGGTGAGGTCCAAGCATCTGACATAGAATTTCAAATGCTTCTGTTTTGAATTCTTTCGAAATTTAATAATTTTTCATTACAAATGATATTAATTTAGGACAACTTTTAGAGATACAAGACAACTGCTGATGATCAGTGAACAGTGAGAGACTCGAGGTCCCCTCATGCATTTTCATTTGTCTGTGTGCGGTTTTGCATGTTCGGGATTTTGTATGTTATTTGCATGAGAGTGCACAAGGTTACTCACGATCCATGGCCATGCCCACAGCGATGCACTTCTTGAAGCGGCACAGCTGGCACTGGTTGCGGGTGATCTTGTCGATGATGCAGCAGCCATCGTACTTACAGGAATAAGAAGGGTGGAGGTTCTTCTGGATGGTGCGCCTGAAGAATCCCTGAGAGAGTGAGGAGGATAAGGAGTGTATTCAGAGGCAGGGAGTCAGACAAGTGTTATCTGTCACAAACTGTGCTTCCTGTCCCACATAAGCAAGTGGACTGCAAAAGCCTTTTTGTCTTGTTTTGCTGTAAAAATATCTAAAAAGCAATACTATTTATGATACAAGGAAACAAGGGGAAAAAACAACAACTATTTGCCAATGATATGAGAAAAATAAATTAAAAATAATCAAGATATAATTTCTGAAAAGATTTTTCACCCCAATTAAATTTGTGTTATCATTAGGGTTCAAAAAGTGCTAATGTTTCAGTATTCAATAAAAACTATATCAGTAAAATTGAGTCTTAATCAGTAAAATTCAATACAGCAAAAGCAAATATTCTATTGAGAAAAAAAACAATTACATAAAAAAATAAATAAAATACAATTCAATAAAATCAAAATAAATAAACATACAAATTATGCTATTTTGTTTCCCAAGTTTTTTTTTCAGTAGAGTTGCCAGAATGCTAACATTTTAATAGTCAAAACAAACATCAGTGACATTTAGTCTTGATACCAAATTCAATACCACAGCAAAAACTAATACTGTAGACTTTTGAACACATTCCTAGGGAATTCCTAACAAAACAAAACAAAATAAAAATAAACAGAGCACATGTGCAAACGTGAGAGCTAGAAAGCAGGTGCTGTCAGTCAACACTTAGTTGGGTACAACAGTGTTGACAGCCCAAACTTTAAGGATGTTTATATATTTTACTGACAAACAAGACCAAAGTCTGATTAGAAAATTTAACATGTTTTGTCTTTATATACAGTGGGGAAAAAAAGTATTTAGTCAGCCACCAATTGTGCAAGTTCTCCCACTTAAAAAGATGAGAGGCCTGTAATTTTCATCATAGGTATACCTCAACTATGAGAGACAAAATGAGAAAAAAAATCCAGAAAATCACATTGTAGGATTTTTAAAGAATTTATTTGCAAATTATGGTGGAAAACAAGTATTTGGTCAATAACAAAATTTCATCTCAATACTTTGTTATATACACTTTGTTGGCAATGACAGAGGTCAAACATTTTCTGTAAGTCTTCACAAAACTCTAATGTTAACTCACAGCAACAAACAAGTACAGACATCAGTATATCAGCAGCACAAAAAATATTTATTATAAAAAAGTTCCTAGCTTAATATGCAAAGAAGCTGTTAGTAATTTCTAGATTGTTTTTTTCATAAAATGTGTGTATATTAACTATCTGAGTACCTATTTAAGACCTATTCTTGTTCATCTTAATTGGTGAAAGCCCTGAAGAGCCCTGAGTGACTCTGAGAGTGTCACTTGACAGTAATTAAGATCCGCCAGTGTTTCTGTCAGGCCTCTCATCTTAAGCTACTTAATTGCCTCCATGCAAATGTGTGAAGCACTTTCATTGATAAGAAACAAAATAATGATTGTGGTACATGCTATGGTTTACAGAAAGGGCAAATAGTTCACTGCTCTCTGTTTTACTAAATATACACTACAATTCAAAGGTTTGAAGTCAGTAAGATTTTTCTAATGTTTTTGAAGAAGTCCCTTATGCTCACCAAGGCTTTATTTGATGAAAAAAAAAACAGCAAAGTGTAATATTATGAAATATTACTACAATAATAAAAAAAAAGTTTTCTATTAATACAGAAATCATCTAAACCAAGCGGAGATGGGGTGTCCAGAGTAAATCTACTAAACATCAAACCACTTTATTGAACTTCCTCAGCTGAACAGCCACTCCTTACACTAATACAAAGCCAATCCTTATATAGCCCATTAGCCTGGGAGAGTGATTGATTGAACGCGAGTTATGATATCCTGAAGGAGTATCGCCAGAACATCACATAACAACAAGTCTATTGAGCTAACTGATGCTGGAGTTGTTTAGAGGAAGATCACGGGGCAACTGAAAACCCTTCTCTCCTTCTGGGTTTCTCGTGTGTTTCTCAGAAATGTGCAGTCAGTGATGCATTCTGGGAGGACAGAGGAGGGGTAAGCATACTGCTGCAGCTCTAGGCAAAAACATCCGTGTCTTCTGTGAGACATCTTACCAGCCATGCTCTTCACCAAACACTGACTGTTCTTTCTCTTCCTTTTCGGGCCATCGAGCCACCTGTAAAAAAAAAGGAGAGACAGAGAGAAAGAGGATGATATTAGTACATCCAACAAAGATGGCACACAGGAAGTCTTTATGGTGATTTGATGGCTGCAATTCCCTGTTGTACTACTTTATATTTTTAACCAGCACACATTCAACACCAAGTACTCCAACAACATGACAACCCTGTCATTTTGATCTGAGGGAGTGAGGATCACAAAAAAGAAGGTCGCAAATACAGGCAACTTTCAGAGCCATGGTGCACGTGTTCCTGACACATTCATGTCCTGACTGCAAAAGGACTGAGCCCATTCCCCTTCTCTCTTCTAAATAATTTCCTTCAACTTTCTAAGGCCCAAAGCACAAGATATAAACAAAAGCAGTGATTTAGCAACTGGAAGCTGTCACAATAATAGTAATTATTCAAATAAAAATATTTTTCTTCTTAAAAAAGACTCTTCCCTAATATATATATTTTTAATCATCACAATAATAATAATAATAATAAAACACCAAACAATTTAAAAACAATGATTTAACCATGATAAAGTGTCAAAGTCATTTTCAATGTGATTTTACTATTAACAAATAAATAAAAGGGATATTGAATATTTTAAAAAGTAGTCCCACTATTCATTAAAAAAATAATAATAAAATCAGGTTTAAAAATAATACAATAACACAGATTACTGTCTTTGAATACTACCCAAAACAAAACAAAAAACTATAAAAACAAAACAAAACATTAAGAGTGATTATGTGTTTAGTAATTAAAAAATGTCTGGAAGTAATTTTTTAAAAACGATGCATTGTTATGATCCTATTTTAAAATGACATCAAATTTTTTATATACCTCACTTCTGATCAACTTCTCAAAAAATATGTCCAGTTTTGCAGCCCACCAATAACATCAGGTCATCCAGCAGTAGGAACACCCATTATGACTGAAGAGGCAGGAACACTGACACAGACTTTCAGCACTAAAATGACTGAACATCATTAATTATCAATGAGAGCTGGCGATTTCCAGAATCATGAGTGACAGAGAGAGTTGCAGATGTAACAAATCTGAGCAGGGCAAATGAGCAGTGATGCAATGCAGCAAGTACCAATGAGACAGTAAAACTACCAATCAGACAGTGATCTGACTTATACAGCCGGACATCGTGGCTTAACAATACAGCCACTCTATGACCTCCAGCAACATATACGTGTGAACGCCAGAGTCTCCGGTTACATCGAGTCTGGCAGTGATTAAAGGGCTGGAGTGGCTCAGCTCTATGCTGGGAGAAAGAAAGCAGAGTTATGTAACAAAGTGTCCAAATAATGCAGGCAAATCAGTTAGCATTGGGTGCTAGTCTTTCAACGCCCCTTCAACGCCTTCACCACTGCTAATGCTAGCCTCTTTAAACATCAAAAAGAGTTTGATTTCTAAAGGGAGAGCTGTTTTAAACCTCAGTGAACTCCACATGATACTAATATACTAATAAGTGTATATGCAAGTTCATGAGCTGGATTTTGAAGAAGAAAAAAAAACCTGCAAGTCCGTTAAAGGCATAAAAAATGAATTTAAACATCAAAACGGTAGAGGTGGACAACTTTCCTGTTACATAATGTAACAGCTGCCGTTATGCTTACAAAAATACTGTGGAGGGACAGTATCAGGTAATACAGTAATACTGTAGCACTTTGCTAGCCTACTATAATGTACTATAGTATTTACATGGTATGCTAAGGCACTTTAAGAATCCCAATAGTACTTTTTGTTAGTGTCTTGAGTTTGCCCTTTTCTCAGTTGATAGAATCTTCTGGAAATTACCAAGAGAACACAAAACAAGGTTCATGTGATGTGCTCCCTCAAGCCACTGTGATGTCACACACATAAACACAAAGAAGGCCATCTTTGTTCAAAGCCATGGGGAAAAGATTATAAAAGGTTTAAAGTCTAATACTGTGTGTTCTTTTGCCACATTGTTTTTGTCAGTTGCTGTATTGATTCTGCAGCTGTGGAATGTCATTTAATATGTCTGACTGAGGTTCAGTCAGGACACAGAAGCCTCTAGACTTTTTTCCCTCTCGTTCGCTCAGGCACACGGAAATGTCACTCTAAAGCCACGCTGTCTTTGACAAAATCACTCTGATTTTCTGTTGCAGATGGTTTTACCAATATGAATGTCAATCATCTGCTGCCCTCATGAGAACATGCTTGTCACAAAGAAAACACAAACGTACAAACAAAAATCAAACACAGGCATCCCAGATTTCACATTTCAGACAGGCAACAGTGTTTTCTTCCACACACCTCATGTAATCAATACTGAATACAAGATTCATTTAATCAATTTCATCATGGCAAAAGCAATGTGCAAAGATCCCGTCATAAGATAAACAGATATACAGTGCGATAGAAAGATAGGCAGATGAGCAGACAGAGGCATAAGAAAGATAAAGCAGCAAGGGCTTTTTTGTCCACTCTGACACTCACTATAAAAAGAAACCTCAGAGGTTTCTGCCTAGTCAGAAATGGATGGGAGGGGTAAATCAAATAAATAAATAAATAACAGCCAAGTTGGCACTTGCTCTCTGCAGAAACATCAATTATTCTAGATCCAAATGGAAGAGCTACACAACTTCCCCATTAAAGGAACAGAGGACAACCATTATAACATCTGAGAGGACAGGTTGCAGTTTGCACAGTAATACCGTGATACGAGCCGGGAATGAGCATCTATCGTTTTGCACACAAAGCGTCAAACAACTAGCTCATAATCTGCCTGATCTGATGATACTGATGAAACATTTCTCATTAAATTCTCACACTATCAGAAAAAAAGGCACAAAAGCTGTCACTGCGGCGGTTACTTTTCAAAAGGTACACCTTTTGGTATTAATATGTACACTTTAGGTATACTAATATACACCTTTAAGGTACCAATATGGACACTTTAGGTACAAATGGCACTCTCTTTTTTTCTGAGAGTGCAGATGCAGCAGCATACATGATTCAGAAGTTTTAGAAATCTGCACATTCAGTCAGAATCAAAATCAGTCGACTGATGCAACACAGAAGATCCCAAAAAAAAGAAGTTAGAGCAACCTTCTCCACAGATAGGAATCGGAGAATTTTTAATTAGATTCATTGTCCAGGAAAAGATCCGTTGTGGGTTTTCCACACTTTATACCAATGGATTACCATGGGTTTTTTATGATTTTTCCATTCACTCATACTTTAAATAACAACAACAACAACTTACTATTACTACTACCACATAATATAACCAGTATCAATCATATTACCAATATAGCGAATACAATATATTTATAGAGATTACACTTGGACACAAAGCAATTTCTAGATGATTAAATATTTTAGATCTTAGCAAAACTGGAAAAATGTTTTTCTAATTTTATAGAAATTATAATAAATAATATTTAATAAAATTCAATATTGATATTATAATAAAACTTTTTCATAATTTTATAGAACTTTTTTTTTTGGATATCACAACTTTCAAATTCCTTCCATGATCGAGTAGCATGACTAGGCTTGTAGAGCGATCCAGGTAGGAGAAGTGTCTCACCTGATAATGCAGTGGGATTGGAGGATGTGCATGATGACGATGAAACACTCAGCTGTTCTTCAGGATTATAACTCTTCACCGCATTAACGGAGCGAGCCGTATAAACACAGTCTGACTGAAAAGCAGTGATTTAGCAACTGGAAGCTGTCACAATAATAGTAATTATTCAAATAAAAATATTTTTCTTCTTAAAAAAGACTCTTCCCTAATATATATATTTTTAATCATCACAATAATAATAATAATAATAAAACACCAAACAATTTAAAAACAATGATTTAACCATGATAAAGTGTCAAAGTCATTTTCAATGTGATTTTACTATTAACAAATAAATAAAAGGGATATTGAATATTTTAAAAAGTAGTCCCACTATTCATTAAAAAAATAATAATAAAATCAGGTTTAAAAATAATACAATAACACAGATTATTGTCTTTGAATACTACCCAAAACAAAACAAAAAACTATAAAAACAAAACAAAACATTAAGAGTGATTATGTGTTTAGTAATTAAAAAATGTCTGGAAGTAATTTTAAAAAAACGATGCATTGTTATGATCCTATTTTAAAATGACATCAAATTTTTTATATACCTCACTTCTGATCAACTTCTCAAAAACTATGTCCAGTTTTGCAGCCCACCAATAACATCAGGTCATCCAGCAGTAGGAACACCCATTATGACTGAAGAGGCAGGAACACTGACACAGACTTTCAGCACTAAAATGACTGAACATCATTAATTATCAATGAGAGCTGGCGATTTCCAGAATCATGAGTGACAGAGAGAGTTGCAGATGTAACAAATCTGAGCAGGGCAAATGAGCAGTGATGCAATGCAGCAAGTACCAATGAGACAGTAAAACTACCAATCAGACAGTGATCTGACTTATACAGCCGGACATCGTGGCTTAACAATACAGCCACTCTATGACCTCCAGCAACATATACGTGTGAACGCCAGAGTCTCCGGTTACATCGAGTCTGGCAGTGATTAAAGGGCTGGAGTGGCTCAGCTCTATGCTGGGAGAAAGAAAGCAGAGTTATGTAACAAAGTGTCCAAATAATGCAGGCAAATCAGTTAGCATTGGGTGCTAGTCTTTCAACGCCCCTTCAACGCCTTCACCACTGCTAATGCTAGCCTCTTTAAACATCAAAAAGAGTTTGATTTCTAAAGGGAGAGCTGTTTTAAACCTCAGTGAACACCACATGATACTAATATACTAATAAGTGTATATGCAAGTTCATGAGCTGGATTTTGAAGAAGAAAAAAAAACCTGCAAGTCCGTTAAAGGCATAAAAAATGAATTTAAACATCAAAACGGTAGAGGTGGACAACTTTCCTGTTACATAATGTAACAGCTGCCGTTATGCTTACAAAAATACTGTGGAGGGACAGTATCAGGTAATACAGTAATACTGTAGCACTTT